TGGTCTGACATGATCTCCCCCTAATAAATCCATGCTGATTGCCCCTGAGCATCATTTCTGATGCCGGCCCATCACAAATGTGCTCCTTGATGATCTTCTCAAAGAGTTTCCCCAGGATTGAGGTAAGACTGATGGGCCTATAGTTGCCCGGGTCCTCCCTCTTCCCCTTCTTGAAGATGGGGACCACATATAATCTACCTCTCTCAGATTTTTTATTTTAAAAGTTTTTATTTTAATTTATTTTATTTTATTTTATGGAACTGTAATTTGAGTACAGTGGCAAATTCAAAAGGGACTCGCACAGTATTCAGAAAGAAAAATTATACATAAGAGTGCTTGCTGTGGTAGAAGAGTGAGGGGTTTGGGACTATGACATGGGAGAAAAATCATAGGTAGAGAAGGGGAAATATGTTAGGGGCTCAGGCTATAGAAGTGGGAGGCAAGGGATGGAAAACAAGAAGATGACTGAGTGCAGATGGCAGGGTGAGCAGGAGAATATTAGAATCAGGAGAATATGTCAGATTGATATTTTCTTTTGCCATGTGTGTGCCAAGATAGAGGAAACATATGAACCTCCTTTCTCCACTATGTTTATGTCAGGGACTACCATTCTGGCACCTCTAAATCAGTGTCTGGGGCTGATACCCCACTTGCCGTCCCCTGGTTATGCTACTGGCCACAGATCCTGGTTTGCTGTTCAGTTTGAGCTACGCAACCAAGGAAGCTGAGCTCTAGCTTTTAAGTGCTGTTGGGACAGGAAAGGAGGGTGAGCTGGAATTGGTGGCAATGATCTATATGTTATGGAGGATACTGAGACCTGGAAGGGGAGAGGGACATCAATATTCTCTATAATGCATAAGCTTTCCATGATTACCCATCATGTTACAATTTGTTACAATTTGTTATGCTGTTGTCCCAGGGCAAAGTTTTAATAAGCGCGTTGTCCCCGGAGAACTCCAATGTTTGTTTTTAGCAGTAGTGTAACCAGGACAGGGCAAGAGGGACACTATTGACTATAGGGTGGGTGTTACCAACCATGGGACTTTTTGCAATAGCTTGCATTTGCCCTTGCCCTTGCCCAGCAACTGGAGCCCATACCCAGATGTATGTCTGGGGCCAGGGGGCAAACAGAATGGTGCTTCCCCTTACCCCCAAGGGAGTCTTTGCCACAGCAGGTGCATCCCTACCCCCAGGGGAATGAGCAGGGCCTAAGGGACAGCTCTTATGCAGCTGGCAGCTACTGCTGCCTGAGCCAACACTGTAGCAGCAGACTTCAGTCTGGAGAGCAGCAGCTGGTAAGACTTAGCCCCCCTTTTCTTCCCTTCCCTCCTCCCCCCTGCAGTGCTCAGCATACTCCCTGCCCCAGGCCTTGAAGGAACTTGCTATGTCTGGCTTTTAGCCCTAAACTGCCTCATCACAATCACAGCCATGCCCATGCTGATCCAAATAATCTCTCCACTAGTCAACACATGCAAGTGGAGAGTGTGCAATTAGTTGTCATTGGTACTTCCAGCTTCTGGGAAGCAGAGTTGAGACTACATCAGTATATTCCCTAACTGGGTATTTCTTGGTTTGAATTTTGCTGAATGTGACACTGGCAAACATTAATATCTTGCTTCTCTGCTGTTCTAACCCAAGTAAGCCAGTTTTTTCCACTGTAGTCTTAGGTATGTGCAAACTGTCTGGTTTGCAAGATAGTCACATCTTTCTTATTTCCTTTGGGTCTATTCCCCCTGTAATCAAGGGCAATGTTCCTGTGACTTCAAAGGAATATGAAAGAATGTGATCAAGCCATTAATACTGTAACTCTGGTCTTTGGTTTGAAATTTATTGTATATTTTAACAGGTAATTAATTCTTCAGAAATATTTTACCCTCCAGAGGTTTAGATAATTTGTTTTAACTTATAAGTTTTTATTATTTAAAAAAGAAATTTATTTCTGTTTACTCAGTTTTTATTCCATGTGCTAAGAGCATAACAAAGATCTATCCTGAATTTTGTTCATTCTATCTAACAAATTACTTGGTATAAAAAAAAAGAATGGATATCCAAACAGTACAATTCAAGCAACTATATTAAATAATAGTCTAAAAAGATTCAGACAACCCCACTTAAGATCCAGATTGTTTTTCACTCGAGTTTTTTGATATTTCTGATAGCATTAGCCCAAAAGAGAACAAAGTAAATCAATGCTGAACCACAGGAAAGGGGGTGAGGAGTTCTTTGTACATGCTACAGGTTGAAATTACATTCTTATACAAAAGATTTCACTCCAGAAATATAGTTCCTGTAATAACAATATAAAACAATATTGCATTTTCCTATTTGAATACTCACCGGTAGTATTTTAATATTAATTGCAATTGAAATATTAGTGCTTTTCATTATTACCAAGCATCATGATAAAAGACAAACTGAATATATATTGAATCTAGTATCTGTGTGTGTGTATGTATAAAATATTTATAAACACTTACGTTGGTTCATTGTGTGTGCATGTGTGTAAAATATTTTGCCCATTGTTTTTATTGAAAAAAATAATTGGATATGTTTGAAATGATGTTTAATGTATTTAAGAATTGTGTAATGTTAGATATACTGGGCACATCTACACAAGATGCATTGCTGTACAGTAGACTAATTTACTGTGTGGTAAAACGTCGCCGTCTACACATACAGGTGCTTACTGAGCAGTAAGTTAGTCTACTGCACAATTAATTTGCTACTTGCAAATGCAGGTGGCAAATTAACTGCGCCATAGTTATTGTGCAGTAGGGCATGTGTAAACACTGACCGGGAGCAAATTTTCTTTCAGTCAGCTCCACCACCATGGGGCTACCCTTGACCTAGCCCCAGGGCCATGTGGCTGGGAGCTTCTCCAGTCCTGGGGCTGGGATGGCTCTTTGCCTGCCCCAACTTGGCCTTTAAAACTCTGCTGACATGGGAGCCTGTGCCACTTGCAGCCTGCACAGACTCCAGGACTGCCCCTGGGCCAGCCTCACCACCTGCCTGCCTGTCATGTGCCATGGCCCTACGCTGTAAGCATCTGCTCAGGCACCAGTGGCTGCATCCATGTGCATGTTGTTGGGGTCCAGGTGACAGGACAGAGGCTGGTTGATGTCAGAATGGGGTAGGGGGCCTCAGATGCAGCTGTCAGCCTGGCCACATGGCCATGCAGCAAGGCAGAGCAGACAGGGTTGAGACTGTCCAGGGCCTGGCAGTGCTTGCTGCAGTGGTGAAGTGAGGTGAGCAGTGTGGCAAGCAGGAACCCGGGACCTGAGTCATTGGTCCTGGAGCCTGGGGAGCAGCCATCACACAGTGGGCACAGGCTTTGGCAACAGAGTTGCAGAAGGCTATGCCAGCATGCTGCACACTGCTCTGGGCCAGAAATGTAGGAGCACTGCATGGGACTGCCTTTTAAAGAGTGGCTCTAGCCCTAGGCAGCTGTGTCTGGAGCCTCCAGCTCCCCCTGGATACTGCAAGGTGGGGAGAGTGGAGGGGGGCCCAAGCAGGGTTGAAGGAGATCTAGAACAGGCTAGCGCTATAAGCAGCAAATCTGCTCCCAAATGACTGCACATGTAGACACCTGGCCAGAGCTGACATGCATTTTGTCACTTATGCGACTGCAAGTAACAGAGTGCTGAGCGCTTTTCCGAGCACTCAGTGCTGTGGCACTTGCATGTGTATAAATGCTCAATGAGAGCAAGTTTATATTTAACAAAGCACACAGTGACCCAAGACTGTCTGCTATTTCAAATATATTAAATCAGGGGGGTCAAATATTCAACCTGTTCACTGGATCCAGCCCCATGGAGATGGATCATTCTCCTGCAGGACTTCTTGCAGGTTCTCCACAAGCCAAATTCAGCTCACAGAGCTCATCACTGCGGCTGTAGGAGCCGCTGCAGTGCAGGTGTTAACATCCACAGCTGTTGTTCCAGCATAACTCCGCAGTTAATGCTGCTTGCTTCCCATCTCCCCTTTCCTGCTGCCCAAATCCTGGTTTTTAGTTAGTTGCCCACTGCAATTAAGATTGGCTATGGGGGGGGGGGGGGGGGGGGAGGGCAAA